GCTAGATCTCAGTTTTGTGATAAGTTTCAGAGAAGGCCCCCAGAGAACTTCTCTTTTCGCTAAAATGCAGAACCTGAAAAAATATCTTCTCACTCTTTTTATTTTTTATTCCTGCTCAGCAGCTCTCAGAATCCCATGAGAATTGCTATGGTTTCTTCTGTCAAAATCTCAAGAATCTGCTTTTCTTTGACTTTTTGTACTTCCTCACATATATGGTGCTGTATAAGTGTAGAGGATAATTATTTCCATAAGAAGCATTACCAGAAATGCCAGAAGAATGACTGACTGACTGTCTTGGAGATTTTCACAAGGGTTTGGTGAATTAAGTGCACTTTTTTCATCTCTAAAAGAAAACAAACACGCAAATAAGGAAGTGATTCCTATATCATCCAGCCTCCACAAACAATCCTGTGAAATAATTAGAAACCAATGTTTCCTGTGATTTAACAAAATCTGTATCTTTAATTACAAAAAAAAAGCCTGACATTTTATACCTTGAAATTAGCAGTAGCATCAAAGATAAATTCTCTAATTCAATTTTCATGCCAACAGTCATACAACATAGCTTCCTGCTATTGGAAGTCAGGAAGCTACATACAATTGAAAGCTGACTAGAGGATATGCTGGTGCATAACTACTCAAACTGCAGCATCAAATCTATAACAAATGGAACTCTCCTGACAATATCCTTCGTATTGAAACATACTGAACCGCATGCCTTTTGAATACACCTAACACCCCAAAGGTTTTAGCACCCTTCTGAATGCCTCACTAATTTTGTTGAATTACAGTATAATCCTGAAATTGGATAATGAACTGATTTCATTGCTAAAACAAGGCATAGGATTAAACAAGCAAAGGGACAGCTGTATTTCATCTGTATGTACCAATGATAATCAAATTAGCACTCTATGTGTTGCAGGGCAATGGGTAGGCAGACTGTAAGTTATCAGAAAAAAATTATACAGAGGTAAACAGAAGAGTGTGATAACCAACCTTTACCTTCATGTCTGCACTTCTTCCCATTCTTCATCCATTTCACTTATATAGTTCCTATTTTTATTGGATCAAAAGTAACATTATGTGGTGGCACTTTGCTAGACATTGCATTTTTCTATTCTCAAAAAATTCTTGTGCCAGACCACATTGTAATTGCCAGTGGCATAAGTCATGGCTAATAATTAATTGCTTAGCATTGTGTTGAGTAGAAATAGAGTGCTCAGGATCAAATTCACCAGCATAAAGAGTTTTACCTGCCACCTTTTTGGCATTTCAATGGTAAAATTGTTAAGAGATATATAGAAGGACTGGAATTGATAAGGTACATCTAAAGAAAACACTTTTATGTGCTTTAATTTAATTGCTATTGCCACTGTCACTAGTTAGCTGTGAAATATTAAAATGGTAAAGAATTTTCAGTAAATGCCAGCGTCAAAGAAACATCAGCCTGTGATTGACACAAGGTACTTTCCTTTTGTGACTTTCACTTCACAAACAGCAGAAAGAAGAAAACCTCCTGAGAATGCTGGCAAACCCTATAACTCAGAGCAGCCATCAGGATTCTCCAATTTGAACTGGAACAAGATCAGCACTAAATTAAGAGAGCAGCAATGGTAGCTTACAGCTATCTCATTCCTACCCCTGAGCCTTGCTGAATTCCAGTCAGTTGCAGCCTGTTGCTGGTTTTGATCTTTTTTATCATGGCTCTTCTTTTTAAACTAATTTGTCACCCATTGGAGGGAATGCCAAGGGGTATAAAGACCCTTTCCTGACTTTTTTAAATTCAATTCTTAATATTCCCAATTCTGGTGCTGCCAAAAGTAGGATAGCTGCTGCACCACTAGCAAAGGATGCCATAGGCAAAATAACCTGAAATCAAGAGCATTCTGAATTTCTGGTATTCACCCACCCATATGCATCACACACTCAAAGCTTCTATGATATTGCATTGTACAAGAGCTGAGCTCATGTGGTGGCCTCTGTAATTGGAAACAGGGTTAAATGCAGGATGGTGATATCAGGTCTGGCTTCACTTATTTATTTGCTGCTGTTGCACAATCAGCCATGAAGTTGTTCTACCACAGCAGACCTCAGCAGCACTGGGTGCACTTGCAGCTGGACGATAACTGTCCCTTCTCTTGTGAACCTTGTGTTCTGATCTAAGAAAAGCTGGGTAAATCTACAGTTTATACTTGAAATTAAGATGAAGAACAACCTGTCACCTCTAAAGTGATAACGTATTCATCTAATGACAAAAGGTGATCTATTTGGATATGTCCGATCTATTGAAAAAAAAAACTGTTATTTTTTTCACTTGATAATTACTGGGCTGGAAGTGACCTTTGCATTAACAGCCTATTAGTTGCCAAATAAATTTGTTATTGAATATAAAGAAGAAACCATATAAAAGTGTACATGTATATACAAACTGAATTGTACATCAACAGGGTTTTCTGAGAGAGCATTAAGTCTAAGCCGGAAAAGGATAATAGATGTCTGTATAGTAAACTGCTCATCCTATTCACCATGTCTATATTTAATATCTTCCTTTTCACAGTTTGTATCAGTCATTTTTGCCATTTAGTCCTATTTACAGGGGCTGGGACATTACTTGCACTGGGAAGCCCTAGGACTTGTTACTGGGACATATGCTCATTCAAATGGAGACTTTTTGGTTCATGCCAATGATAGGAGAGAAGATCTGTTAACAGGCCTATGGCAAAGCTGCTATAAAATTGGAAATAAATTATTAGATTTAGCCACCCCGTGTTTGCTCTTAAAGCAAAAAATGCCACTTTCTAGATTCTGTCTGTTTTCCGTGTTATCTTTACAACTGATCTTTCTGTTCTTGCTAAGTGAAAAGATGAAAAAAATACAAGGTTATGTGGGGAGGTGAGGATGAGGATGGTGACGACACCAAAGATGATGAGGATGATGAGGATGGTGACAGTGACACTGAGGATGATGACAGTGATGGAAATGGTGACCATGACACCAAAGAAAGATGATGAGGATGATGAGGATGGTAACAATGGCACCGAAGATGATGAGGATGATGAGGATGGTGACAATGACACCAAGGACAATGAAGATGATGAAGATGAAGATGGTGACAATGGCACCGAAGATCATGAGGATGATGAGGATGAGGATGATGACAAGTGACACTGATGATGAGGATGAAGATGGTGACGACGCCAAAGATGACGAGGATGACGAGGATGGTGCCAACACTGAAGACCATGAGGATGATGAGAACGGTGACAATGACGCCAAGGACGATGAGGACGATGACAGTGACAATGGCACTGAAAATGATGAGGATGACGAGGATGAGGATGGTGACAACAACACCAGAGATGATGAGGATGATGAGTATGGTGAGGATGATGAGGATGATGAGTAGGGTGACAACGACACAGAGGATGGTGAGGATGATGAGGATGATGAGGATGATGAGTAGGGTAACAAAGACACTGAAGATGATGAGGATGATGAAGATGGTGACAATGACACCAGGGATGCTGTGAGGATGATGAGTAGGGTGACAACGACACAGAGGATGGTGAGAATGATGAGGATGGTGAGGATGGTGAGGATGATGAGGACGATGAGGATGATGAGTAGGGTGACAATGACCAAATATAATGAGGATGATGAGGATGAGGATGGTGATAACAACACAGAGGATGATGAGGATGATGAGGATGATGAGGATGGTGACAATGACACCAATGATGATGAGGATGATGAGTAGGGTGACAATGACACCAAAGCACCAAAGATTATGAGAATGATGAGGATGGTGACAATGACACCAGAAATGATGAGGATGATGAGGATAAGGATGGTGACACCAACACCAGAGATGATGTGAGGATGATGAGGATGATGAGTAGGATGACGATGACACAGAGGATGGTGAGGATGATGAGGATGATGAGGATGATGAGTACAGTGACAACGACACAGAGGATGGTGAGGATGGTGAGGACGATGAGGATGATGAGGATGATGAGGATGATGAGTAGGATGACAACGACACAGAGGATGATGACGACGACGACGAAGACCACGCTCACCTCTCCCTCGGCGCCGGCGCGGAACTGCGGCAGCGTCTCGAGGCAGAACACCACGATGGACACCAGGATGACCAGCACGGACAGCAGGGCCACCACCCGCGCCGCCGGCGAGCTCTCGGGGTGCTCGCACAGCAGCCACGCCCGCCGCCTCAGCCCGCCCCGCGGCAGCGCCGGCGGCTCCTCCACCGAGAAGCCTTCGGCCTCGCGCAGCCGCTCCTCCGCCTCGTCGCCCAGCTGGTAGAACCTCAGCTCCTCCAGGAACACGTCCAGGGGCACGTCGGGGGGTCTCCGCAGCCGCCCCCCGCTCTGGTAGTAGTAGAGCACGGCCCCGAAGGCGCCGCGGTGGCGGTCGAAGAAGTACTCGCGGCGCTGGGGGTCGAAGAAGCGGCGGCGGCGCCGGGGGTCGCCCAGGAGGGTGTCGGGGAAGCGCCGCAGCGTCCGCACCAGGGTCTCGAAGCGCCGGCCCGCCACGTTGATGGCCACGCGCTCGCAGCAGCCCAGCGGCTCCCCCATGCCCGCGTGGGCACCCCCGGGACGGGGCACGGGCGGGGCGGAGGGCACCGAGGGCAGCCTGGGCGAGGAGCGGGCGCCCCGCGGCCCAGGGGGACACCGGCGGGGAGGCTCGGCA